AAGTCAGAGATGAATTTGATTCTAAAGCCTTTGCCAATGCTGTTGCTCCTGCATCTCCAACCTGATTGTGAGAAAGTTCCAAAGAAGTTGGAGATGAATTTGTTTCTAAAGCCTTTGCCAATGCTGTTGCTCCTGTGTCTCCAATATTATTCCAAGAAAGTTCCAAAGAAGTCAGAGATGAATTTGATTCTAAAGCCTTTCCCAATGCTGTTACTCCTGCATCTCCAATCTGATTGTCAGAAAGTTCCAAAGAAGTCAGAGATGAATTTGATTCTAAAGCCTTTGCCAATGCTGTTGCTCCTGCATCTCCAATCTTATTGCTAGAAAGTTCCAAAGAAGTCAGAGATGAATTTGATTCTAAAGCCTTTGCCAATGCTATTGCTCCTGCATTTCCAATATTATTCCAAGAAAGTTCCAAAGAAGTCAGAGATGAATTTGATTCTAAAGCCTTTGCCAATGCTGTTGCTCCTGCAATTCCAATATTATTGCTAGAAAGTTCCAAAAAAGTCAGAGATGAATTTGATTCTAAAGCCTTTGCCAATGCTGTTGCTCCTGCATCTCCAATCTGATTGTCAGAAAGTTCCAAACAAGTCAGGGATGAATTTGATTCTAAAGCCTTTCCCAATGCTGTTGCTCCTGCAATTCCAATATTATTGCTAGAAAGTTCCAAACTAGTCAGGGATGAATTTAATTCTAGTGCCTTTGCCAATGCTGTTGCTCCTGCAATTCCAATATTATTGCTAAAAAGTTTCAAACAAATCAGGGATGAATTTGATTCTAAAGCCTTTGCCAATGCTGTTGCTCCTGTATATCCAATATTATTCTTAGAAAGTATCCAAGAATTAACAGAAGGGTTTGATTCTAAAGTAACTGTCAGTGCTGTTATTCCTCTACCTCTCAGTTTCTGAGAAAAATCCAGTATTCTACCTGGTAAATGCTGATTTTTATCATCAAGTAACAATTTTAACTGTTTGTACACTTCTTCACATGGTGGTCGTTCATTGGAATTTTCACTCCAACATGCTGAATATAGCTGAACAAATGCTTCTGGTGTTCCTGGAATTGGAGAATCTCGATAGCCTTGTTTTCTATATTCTGCCACACTATATTGAATACATCCTTTACAAGGAATTTGCCCACTAGAAATTTCCCAGAGCAGCACCCCAAGACTAAAAACATCGGCTTCCTTTCCACGTTTGTATGGTTGAACTCTGAATAATAAGGGATCTCTATATGCTGCAGTGCCTTCTCCAATTGATGAGGATATAATCCGCCCAGATAGGCCAAAATCAGTAATTTTTGCAATGCCAGATTTGATAAGAATGTTAGCAGAGGACTTTAAATAAGAGTTAGGATCATAAAAATTATTAGTTTATAATCATATAAGTTATGTAACTGTGACCAAAGAAAGTGTAATAATATTACCAAGTCCTTGTGGATGATATTAAGCTTATGCATGTGCCTCAAACCGTTAGTAATTTCCAGGCTGAGCTTGTATTTGTCTTCCCACGTTAAACTACGAAAATGTTGTACCAAGTGATTGCGCAAAGTTCCGCCATTAGCAAACTCGAAAATCATATGATAGCCGTCATCTTCGTCTTTAGATTGAACAATGCAATATGTCATTTGTAGAAATACATTGTCATGTTATAACGATAACAATTGCATACTTACAGACACCCAATAATCGGATAATATTCGGATAACCGCTCACTTTCTTGTGGTTTTTCAGCTGATCGTATGTAAATCATTAGTTATAAATAAGGCGGCGTACGCTCTAATATTAAACAAAAACCAATAAACAACCTCTTTGATAAGCTTTTTATAAAATTTTTCCTCACAACCGTGGGGATCCTGATACAAAGTTTTTACGGCGACAGTCAACCTATTGTGTTTCATCGTTGCCTTATATACTACCCCATAGGCACCACCAGCAACAGGTAGACGACCGACATCAATGTCGCTTTTTGAATAACAGCGGATAGAACCCTCTTGAATACGTTTGTCTATCCATTCCTTATTAGGCTTTTCCCGCTGATAACCAATTACTTGAGATTGCGGTTGCTCATTAATTTCCACCTGAGAAGATTGATGTGAAAACCCGTTTCCCGATTGATCAATGCTTCTTTGTAGTAGAGATGCTTGCTGAATGCTTGCTTCTGACGGAGTCAGACGTGGAATAATCTGCGTTGGTGGATAGGCCTGTAATGTCATAAGAGTATGCAAAAGGGTGAGCTTGGTACGGTTACCTCACAGTAATCCGAAATATAAGTAGACGAACCTGTGATTGGGTATACTCCGATGACGGCTCAATCGGAAGAACTCCAAGCATGTCTTGAACCGAGTTTTGTCGGCTCAGTTCATGTTCAGATTGCATTGGCATGAT